TGGGTTATGCCAACAGTCAACGTACTTGGTTGCTAACCTAAAGTTTGGAGGTTTCAGTCCACCCAGAGGAACCTCAGAGGAAAGGTTTGGTAAAAGGAAAGGTTTTTCTGCTTTCGAAAAATCAGCCATTGAAAGCTCTATGGAGCACAGTTGTAATGTGCACACACGGGGTCACAATGAGTCACGATTGACTCGACAGCAACGGCTTTTTTCAAGGGTTCCACTGAGGCACCTCAGAGGCTGTGTGAGGGCTATGTGCGTAGTGGTCAAGGGGGTTGTAGGGAGAGCATGGCTCTGGTCCCCCACTCCTGACACAGAGTAGCTCTCTTTATCTGTTCAGTGTATTGGGATTATGAGTAAAGGAGTTTGAAGGATCTGTAGATGAGGGAATCTCTAACAGCACAGGTGTGAGCTGTGGGTATCCTGGTACTCAGGAGGGAGAGCTCACTGTGCCTGGGGCTGGAGGGCCTGGAATGCCTGGAGTGCATCTGGGAAGGAGAACTGTGCATCCTAAAAGGGAGGCTGCAAGACTTTGTGAGGCCCGTGAGGGCTACTGAATAGATGCAGACTTCATAACCTCCAATGCCCACGGGGGCAGCAAAACCAGTAAAAAGATAACTAGTTGCCATTGAGTCTACTTTGACTCATGGTGACCCTGTATGTGTCAGTTCAACTGTGCTCCATGGGGTTTTCAATGGCTGATTCTTCAGAAGTAGATTGCCAGGCCTTTCTTCCGAGTGCCTCTGGGTGAATTCAAACCTCCAACCTTTTGGTTAGCAACCAAGCGCATTAACTGTTTGCATCACCCAGGGACTTCAGACAGGGACTGTAGATAGGCAACATTGATAAGTGAGGTGTGGGGGATGAGGCCTGCAGCATGCTAAACGTGCTTGTCCTACTCAAAACGGCAGCTGCCACTCACCTTAGCTGATTGTAGTTCTGTGGGCATTTTGGCTCAGTGCAACTAGGTCTTCAGATTTTTCAAAAGATCCTGGAAATCCAGATTGTTATGGGCAAATATCTCGATTTTGAAAACTTTAGCTCATCTTGTCAAGAACATGGTGCTCAGAGCAAGTACAGCCCTTGGGCTGCTACCTTGTGAATGAGCAAGCAAGACCAAGAGGACACCGGGAGGCTCCTGAGAAGGCTGTGACTAGGGAGAAACATTGAGCCACACCACACTTCTCCAGAGCAGAGGACGAGGCTGCACTTTGTTTTGGGGAGTATTTTCGCCCTAAACTTTGAAATGTAGACACGGTTTGATTGGATTAAGATAGCATGGAGGAAAAGCGTACAATAACTGCCTTTTGTAACAAACAATTAGAATCTGCTACGGAAAAAACAAGCCCCCTTCCCTTTCCTGAGTCTTATGTGCTTGTATTTGTAACTGCAACTAAGGATAAGTGGCATTTTCCTCTGTGACCTGGTGTTTCATTCTTTGCCAGCTCCCTACATTGACATAACTTCCCAAAGTATTGTTTTTTTTCCCCCCCACGAATATTGATAACCTCTGGCAATTTACAAAAACATTACTGAGAATTTCTGATCACCCACATACCATTTTACCTGTCTGACCAAGAACAGCCAAGGCCTCAGAAGGTCTGCAGTTAAAACTCTAGATATTCCTTTTGAGAAGTGATAATTGGCCTCCTCTGCTCCTCCCAGCGTGTTACTCGGTACAATCCAGATGAAATTTGAATGGTGGCTGCAATCACGTTGGAGAGCAACGTGCTGATTTCAGTTCTAGAATTCTCATTTCTGGCGCTGGTGCTTTTTAAAGACTGAAATGACATAGAACGATGAAATTTGCTTTGCTTTTTCACATGAGATTGATTTAGATTTCATCTAACATGACCCCGTCCATCACATCTGTTAGTGAACTGCAATATGGCTCCAGATTAAAAACAAAACCATAGCAATCTTTACCCCCAACACATATACACATACAAAACACTACCACGACCAAGAACTGCTCCCCCCACCCCCCACCAAACCCCACCAAACCTCTAAAATTTAATTTGCAACTGAGGTAGCCCTCAGATAATGCTGCATTTAGCTAATGTATGGTCCCTTCCTTTGGTTACCTCTGGTCATTACCTCTGATTGGAAAGTAGCTTCCATTTGTTGTTGTCGAGTTGGCTCTGACTCATGTGTCTTAGCTATCTAGTGCTACCATAAAACAGAAATACCACAAGTGGATGGCTTTAACAAAGAGAAATTTATTCTCTCACAATCTAGTAGGCTAAAAGTCCAAATTCAGGGTACCAGCTCCAGAGGAAGGCTTTCTCTATCTGGAGGAATGTCCTTGTCATCAATCTTCCGTTGGTCAAGGAGCTTCTCAGCACAGGGACCCCAGATCCAAAGGACACACTATGCTCCCAGTGCTTCTTTCTTAGTGGTATAAGGCCCCCATGTCTCTCTCCTCACTTCTCTCTTTTATATCTCAGAAGAGATTAGCTTAAGATCCAACCTAATCTTGTAGGTTGAGTCCTGCTTCATTAACATAACTGCCTGTAATCCTGCCTCATTAACATCATAGAGGAAGGATTTATAACACACAGGATAATCACATCAGATGACAAAATGGTGGACAATCACACAATACTGGGAATCATGGCCTAGCCAAGTTGACACATATTTTTGGGGGATACAATTCAATCCATGACACTCAGGCAACCCCATGTACAACAGAACAAAATCAAACGTTGCCTCTTCTTGTGCCATCTTCAAAATCATTGCTATACTTGAGTCCATTATTGTGGCAACTGTGTATTTTGAGTGCCTTTCAACCTAGTGGGCTCATCTTCCAGCACTATATCAGATAATATTCTGTTGTAATCCATGGGATTCTCATTGGCTAATTTTAAATCACCAGGACTTTTGTCTCAGTCTGTCTTAGTTTGGAAGTTCCTCTGAAACCTGTCCACCATGGGTGACCCTGCTGGTATTTGAAATACTGATGGCATAGTTTCTAGTATCACAGCAACACCCAAGACACCACAGTATGACAAACTGACAGACAGGTAGTGGAGCTTCCATAGAGGCATAGTTTTCATTTGTGCCAATCCAGTCCACCTCCACACCTCTTTCGGGCTGCCGTGGTGCCTGGATCCTCAAACATGGCCGAGGGACTTGGTTGGTCTCAACTCTGACTAGCATATGGATGGAGTCATACATAACCTTCAGCAGACAATTCCCCTCAGCTATGATGGTGCTGTGTCTGCTGACACCCATCTAGGTTGGACCACTCGTTTCCTTACCAGAGAAACCCCAGAACTGTGAGACATCATTATGTAATAGCTCTTGATAAGAGGAACGCTTGAAGGCTGGAAAAGTAAAATATGTGAATTCATATTCAGTTTTAATAAACTGAGGTAATTAGTCAGTTGAAATGCAATAGAAAGTGACAGCCTGTGACACATAAAAGACTGCTGACTGACAAAGACAGAGCTGTTCTTCATTGCGCTAGTATCCATTTCTTCATCAACATTGAATTCTTCAATCTTTTGGCATTTCAATTACTCTGGAAAATGAATTTATAAAATTTGCACATCTATGCTTTTCTCTCTCTTGTTCTCCTGAAAACTTGAAAAGAAACTTTTCATGCATGTCCCCTGTTTCCCCAACTTGCATGCATGCTAGGATTTAACAAGATTTCTGAGAGCTGTGTGTGTTTTGAATATCAACGGTACATAGTAGATGTTAAGGAAGTATGTATATCTGGAATAGAAGAACAAAATAAATGGGGAGGAGGATTATAGAATATAAGGTCTATGGATATAAGCTCTTATATTCATCCCCACCTAAAACACTGCCCGAAAGATAACTTGTTGCCACTGAGTGGATTCCAGCTCATGGAGACCACATATGCTTCAGAGTAGAACCGTACCCCATAAGGCTTTCAATGGCTGTAATTTTTTTTTTTTAACAAATTTGGCAAATCTCTGTTAGTAGAGTTAGGGAAGATACAAATATATTATTCAAGTTGTCTTGGGATGATAAGGTAGATTCTAGAGTAGTAGATTTCAAACTTCTTTGACCATAGTCTGAGAGAAAAAAAAAAAAAAAAAACTCAACCAGTCCATATGTATGTGTGTGTAAACAGAATTTTCAGAAAATTAAACTTATCCTGACAAGCTAATATGCTCTCTCTTCTCTTCTTTCTTCTATTATTAGAAGAATTATTCTATTCTTTGATTTAAAAATGCTGTAAGATCTCTGCTTGATATCCATGTACCCTCACCTGAAGATAAATAAAGCACTTGCATTGAAAAAAAAAATGCTAGTTAGCAACCCACTAAATTGATTTCAAGATTTATGTTCTGTAAAGGGTCAATTAGTAATTATTCTGGGTTTGTGGGCCATATATCCTTCTTTTTTTGTTGTTTATTTATTTGGCTTTTTGTTTTAAAACCCTTGTTAGGTACTCTTTTTATTTTATTTTTTTACAATGCCTTAAAAATGTAAAAACTATTCTTAGCTGCGGAGTCCCATGGGCCGGTTTGCCCATTCTGTATTAACAGTTTACAGTCCACAGTTTAAATATTAGATTGACTAGAAGATTATAGGAAGGGAAGGGTTTTGATTCAAGTCTATTCTAAGGTTTAAAGCAGGGATTACAAACTCATTTGCCTATGAGGACCTGGGACAAACCCAATGAAGGATGTACGGCAGGGGGGACCGGCTTAAACTGGAATATGCAAACCCCATCTGAATGCTGGCGCATGTTACTAGAGGGCCAGATTCTTCAAGAAAAGCCAGAAGTCTGGATCCAACCTGTCAGCAGTAGAGTACGTTCACCATTTGCATTACCCAGGGACTCTATCTTAGCTTAGGTCTCGTAATACGAAGTCTTACTGTCTTACTTTTCATTGACTAAACTTACTTCCAAACAGTTCTAATTTTCTACCATGGAGTATCTTAGCTACATGGAGAGGGTAACTCAGAGTGTATGTAACACATCTTCTGCACATCAATAGGATAAAGCCTTGTATACCTACCCCCAAAGGTTGAAAGGGCTTCTACTGGTCTGTTACATATTGTAGAACTTTAGGGTGGTGACTTATAATCCCACAATATTTGAATATAGTTCAAAACCTGGTTAAAACCTGCTATAGAGAAAGCCCACCAAAGGGACCAGTAAAAAAGATGCTTTGAGGAGTAGCAGTCCTTCAGATCTTGGAACCACTGCACAAAAACTCTCAAAACCACATGTGTTAGCTTTGGGCTACTCAGCTGGTGGGCATCCAGATTCCTAGAAATGGTGAGTAATTCTAGGTGGACTGGTTCAAGATCCTGATGAGGCTCCTCTAATTCAGCATCCTTTCCTGGTGGCTTTTGAGTAGCTTCTTTGCTGGATTTTGCATGAAAACACATGCTCTTCTTAGGCATTGGTAGAAAAAGCAAGAAAAGGCAGGCCACGGAGACAGAAGCCAAGGATATAACATTGAGGTAAATATAGGAGAGGTTCACCAGGGATACCAAGAGTTGGGCCAGCAGTGAGGCTGCTGTGTAGGCCACCAGAGACATGCTCCTACAGTAGCCACTCACTTTCTGATAATGCTCTGGGCTGACCACACTGTGTATGTATGCATAGTAGGCCACCTCGGTGGCAGAGACCAACTCGTAGAAGAATTCCAGCACCTGCATGGCTTTTAATCCTTGACCAAATATGAGCAGCAGCCAGGTAACGATGAAGCTAACCCCTTGTAAAATGATGACTGGCGTGTAGCCACGTAATCAGTGAGGATAAACACAGGGAAGAGCACGGCCAAGTAAGAGTAAGTCCAAATAGGAAAGATGTCTTTTGTGATCACACTGAGGCTCGTATTTTTATCTGGTCCTGCTAAATAAGGTACAACAAATGGCTCTGATGGCTTCATCTTTGAGAAAAACCCAAATAAGCAGAGAATTACTGGGAAGAATCCAGAAATGCCTTGGTGGTGGT